TTATAAAAATCAATCCAAACATAAATCACATTACTCAATCTCACTTTTATTCAATCTCACTTTTTTAAAAGTCAGTTTGAGAATAATTATTTTTTCTACTGTTAACCCAAATAGACCATATATATAGAGTATATACGATAATAAGTTTGGTGACAAAAATTGTTACTTAAACCTTTTCTTAGGATTACATTTATCTCTTGACTTTTATAGTGTTTTTCTCAAAATATAAGTAGTTTTTATTCCATTATTAGAAACACTATATAAAACCCATCAAAAGAGAAATACTACGCGAGGATTGAGAAAAAATTTTAAAAATAAAATCATATCAACTTTCTCAATTACACACGTGTCTTGTTTTTGAAATATTAATATTCAATTATAAATTTATAGGAAATAAAAAAACTCACAACAATATGTGGTTTAAAAATTTAAAATAATAAATATAAAAAGGTTGACGTATTTTTTTTTTTAAGGTAAAATGACCGTCCAAATTTTAGGCATTAGCTGCCAAGGAAAAAAAGAAAGTTTAGGCATTAATGGTATACTCTTCCGGTCCTTAATATATGATCTAATTATTGAATTGATTTTGATCCTAAATATAATACATACTTCTTATATTTATCAATTTTTTTAAATTACCCCATGAATACTCCTTCAATTATAATCAAGTAGAAGAGGAAGGGAGGACATTAAGAAAAATGATTAAGATATTTTAGAAAAAACATGTCATATTTCTTATAATTAACTAATTTACTTTAACTCTCTTAATCTAATCAAATTAGTTAAATAAATCTTATATTAAAAACGGATGAGTATCTTCAATTCTTCATGTCTGAACTTGGAAAAGTAATGACTTTGCTGATGCGCGCTGCATCTTTTTCCCCCTTCTTAATCATATATACTATTTTGTTAATTTGTTCTTCTTTAATCATACGTCACCTATTTTGCCAATAAAAATTGATATAATTGATAAAGAACCGGCTCATGATTTATAAAATCGTGACTCACAAGGTTGAACTCTATTGTTAGTATGAACTTAAAAGCATGTTTTGACTTTAGTAAATCTTTATAACTCAAGTTATCTAAGTTTTTTTATATATATAAAAAAATACATGACGATATATTAAAATCCTGCACATGATTCTTATCTATTTTTAAGAAGGGAAAAGAAGAAATATTAGTTTTATATTAAAACACTGACCCAATTTATTCAAATGCCATAAATGCGAATATAATCTGTAAATATTAACTCCCATTAATGAGCTTTTAACGTGATGGGTGTATATGAGATGGAAACGTCACGACACATCAAGACTCGTACAAATAGCGAGGCGCACATGATTACAAAATACATAAGCCGGTTCAAGAAAAAATAATTTGGTTTATAATATGTTATGTGAAAAGTAATCAACACTTGCGTATCAGTTTTGTATACGCAATTGATACTTAAACATGACCTTTTATATTCTTCTTTCTTATTCATAATCTCATTTAACATGAATAAGATTAAAAAAATTAATTTGGGACAGATTTAATTAGTTTATTATTACTTGAGAATTCTAGCTCCCTTTATAAGCTCAAACCAACAGTCATACCCTTTCGTGAGAAATAAGGACACATGGCTTGGTTGGCGAAATCCCTCGCCTTGCTAGTACGGACAGCAGTGGTTATTGCGGGTAGCAGAGCTCTCTTCCTCTTCTCAGGCGCACCTCCAAAGACGATAGCACAAATCATCAATAATTTCACTAATAATCCACCTCAGAACTTGACGCTTCGCTGCAAATCTAAGGAGAACACAAGATCAGTGTCGGAGCAAAATATGAGTTCAAATTCAGATCCAACCTTTTTAAACGGACAACGTTGTGTTTTTGCAATTTCAGGTGGCCATCCGACGCTTCGTTTCACTACTTTGACATATATGTTCAGACAGGGAACGAGGCTAGTTGTTTGGAGCAGAAAGGCGCTATACGATGTTCCTGAAAGACATGAAAAAGAGGTGCGTGTAAATATGATAGGGTCCTGAAGGCCCATACTAATTGTTATCAGTGGAACCACCCCCCCGCTATGTAATTTTACCAGCCACCGCACCCGGCTAAAATGGCTCGACGTCACGGAGGTAATATAATTAATTGTGCGTTTCATAGATCTTTCCCAGAAGCCGAAATGCATATGTTTGCAAAATCCTGCTTTGGAACGCTCGATTGAGAAACAAACGCTCCCGTCGATCCAGCTTTTCTGAAAGCCATAGGTCTGTGTCTAATTACCAGGCATAGTACTGTATAATTAATTACTAATATATTAATGACGGAGAAATTCTTACGCTCATTCGTGGTCTATCGAGTTTAATAGCACTAGCTCATATAACTTTACTCTTACATGGCATCATAGTCAGAGAAATGAAAACCAATAGGTCCTACAAATTTTTATATTTAACAATTCCTCCCCATTAATGAATTTCTCTCTCTCCATCACACTTTCTCCTTCAACAAGGCCCTTCTTTCCCTTCCATCCAAGCACAGTAACTCTTCCTTTGGCTTGAAAGCTGTAGCTACTGGGGTTTAGATATAAATCATATTATAACTTTAAAAGTGATTTTATGATATGCGAAATAAATATATAGAGTAATTTATTTCAATTTATAAAAAAATTGATTTTAAACAACACTTCTGGTGATATCTAATCACCCCATAAAAAGTAGGTGGATTTGCTTAGTTTAACAAAATTTTAAAATTTTATTCCTATCAATCTTTACTATTAGAAAACCCATGCATTGGAATTTTACTAGAGAAATAGACCTAATGAATATAAGTCTACGCCTAAAGTTTGTCTTTTAAAACACATCCAATACTGTAAAATATATTTATAAGTGTATTTAGTATCTTAAAATATTTTTTGTGCAATTTTACAATTAACATAATATATAAATTGTTCTGAAAAATTAGCGCAATCCAGAGTAAGCAAGAATTTGAATTTAACACAATTCAAACTGTATTGGATATACTAAAAAACAATTTAAAATGCTGGATGCACTTAAAAAATATTTCAAAGTACCAAATACATTTTAATTCATATAATAATATAAAAGCTAGTATACAAAATTATTGATCCGCACAAATTTAAAAATTTCGATAGATATAATTAAAATAATGAACATGGGATTGGGATGATTTTATTTTTTATTTTTTTGCCAACAGGGATGAATTTAGTTACAGTAAATATCACGCATATATTATTTATTTCAATTGATATACTCCCAAGTTTACAGTGCTCTAAAACCTACTGTAGATACAACTAAAATTAACTCTAGAGCTGTGTACCCAAGAAAGGAAATAATTTATGGTAGAGTTCTTGCTTTAATGGAAGATGAAAAAGGGCATAATTAAAAGTGAAAATTGGGGAACGGAAAGAAAGAAATTAATTGACGGAGAGAGAAATTGTTAAATAAAAATTGGTGGAACCCACATAGATTATTTCTTTGTTTGTGATGCTGTAAGACGGAATGCAAATGAGGTGGTTCCATTTAGGCTCTGTCTGGATCAGCGTTTGCTGATTCAAAAAGAGCTTAAATTATAAAATAAGTAGCTTAAGTTCAATAGACCTGTTTGGCAGCATCTAAAACTGATTGAGCTTATATAATTTTAAGCTCCCTGGACGCTCAGTTGGAATAAGCTAACTGAAGGAGCTTATCAATTAAATTACAAGAGCTTCTCACGTAGCCATTGTGCAATGTCAGAAAGATTCTTTGCTTTTCTCTCTCATCTGTCCTTTTCTTCCGCAAGAGCTCGGTCCATCTTTCCTTTTCACCCCCAACTCATTCCTTCCTTTTCTCCCACTAGCCGTTCGTGGTCGCCCAGCAGCAGCTCGGTCCAAGTCGCTCGGTGCCTTCTTTTTCACCCCCAGCTCGGTCTCAAAAATTTTTTATGTTTCAATTTATGTTTAAAATATTTTTTTGATTTCTTTAAAATTTTAAAATTTAATTCACTCATTAAATTTGATTTCTTCAAATTAAATTATTTTAATTTCATTATATTATGATCAATTTTTTATCATGTTTCATTATTTATTAAAACTCATACCTATTTTGGTAATTTTTCAGCCAAACTTACTTTTACTCAACTATAATCCAAACAAGCTTTTATCAATCTCACTTTTGCAAACTAACTTTTCTGAACTTCAATCCAAACACAATTCAGCTTATCCAATTTAACTTTTACCAACTTCACTTTTCATAAGCTACTTTTTCTATAAGCTGTTTTTTCAATCGCTGATCCAAACGGGCACTTAATTGGATATGGTGCGCCCGCAAGGATTTCTCATTAATGACGTGGATGCACGCGAATGAGAACTTCACGACCTATACAATAAGGCCAAGTGTGATTATAAGTACGAACGAAAATCACAAAATCAATAATCAATAAATGGAAAGTTGAAAACTTGCTGATCGCCGATTGAAAAACGTGGCAGCGTCACGCCTGGAAAAGTGTCAAGAAAATAGAAACAATTTTCAAGACAGTCCCCCTCACGTCTTTCTTTAACGAAAGATTAGAGCTTAAAAACCAATTTCATCAATTGCCTTCTTTCCAACAACGCTGAAAACGTGGGAAATGAATAGTTAAAATTTGAAAAACTAAGTTGTGAAGATTTTTTAAAAAATTCTAACAAAGGATTATGGTCTTTTTCAAAAAAAAATCATAAATATTTCAATTTACTATATATTTCCTTTAAATAAAAATATAATTTTTTTATGTTCTACCTCCAATAAAATAATACCTATACTTATAAAAAATTAATATTCTGATTTTAAATATAAAATATATTTTATAGTATAATTTTAGATTACAAAACAAATTTTATATTCAGAATCCCAATAGTAGTATTTTTTTTTTGGTCAAGGACACCCCTTATGATCAATATTAATCACAATCGCACCCCGTACTAGTTATATTTGTTTGAAGCCAGGGCCCAGGAGATCCCAAGCCCCTTTCAAATTCTTTGGCCTGTTCTCTCATTTCTTTGTCTGCGCTCTGCACTTCGTGGTATCACTCTCACTCCCGCTCTCTCCCCCCCCCCCCCCCCCGACCTGTTTCGCATGGCTTCCGTTGTGGGATCGCCATCTTCCTCTTCTCCTTCAAAGCTCCTTCTCAGACCTTCACTGCCCTCTTCATCACTTTCCGCCTCTACGCACCTCTTCCTCTCCAATCCCACCTCAACTCCCAAAACCCTATCTTCCAAACTCTACTCTGCCGTCTCGTCCTCCTCTTTCGTCGTCGGTGAATCTCCCATTTTCTGTCCCTCCCTTCTCCCTTCGTCCGCATTCGGAGGTTTCTCCTCCGGCCGGCGGTCCCTGGTCGTCCGAGCAGCCAGAGGGAAATTCGAGAGAAAGAAACCACACGTTAATATAGGTACAATCGGTCATGTTGACCATGGAAAGACTACTTTGACGGCTGCTCTTACCATGGCTTTGGCCTCTATGGGAAATAGTGCGCCCAAGAAATACGACGAAATTGATGCAGCACCGGAGGAAAGAGCCCGAGGGATCACGATCAATACTGCTACTGTGGAATACGAGACTGAAAGCAGGCACTATGCCCATGTAGATTGTCCTGGACATGCTGATTATGTGAAGAATATGATCACCGGTGCGGCACAAATGGATGGTGCTATTTTGGTTGTATCGGGTGCTGATGGACCAATGCCTCAGACCAAAGAGCATATTTTGTTGGCGAAACAAGTGGGTGTGCCTAATTTGGTAGTTTTCTTGAACAAGCAGGATCAGGTTGATGATGATGAGCTTCTTCAACTAGTGGAGTTGGAAGTCCGGGAGCTTTTGAGCATCTATGAATTCCCTGGTGATGATGTGCCTGTAGTTTCAGGTTCGGCTTTGTTGGCTTTGGAGGCACTGATGGCCAACCCGAATATTAAAAGAGGGGAGAATCAGTGGGTGGATAAAATTTATGAATTGATGGATGCTGTTGATAGCTACATACCAATTCCTCAGCGTCAGACTGATTTACCTTTCCTTATGGCAATTGAAGATGTGTTTTCAATTACTGGTCGCGGTACTGTGGCGACAGGGCGCGTTGAGAGGGGCAAAGTTAAGGTTGGAGACTCTGTGGATATAGTGGGTCTTAGGGATACCCGGACTACTACAGTTACTGGGGTTGAAATGTTTCAGAAAACACTTGATGAAGCGCTTGCAGGTGATAATGTGGGGCTTTTGCTTAGGGGTATTCAGAAGACAGACATTCAAAGAGGAATGGTTATTGCCAAACCGGGCACCATCACACCCCATTCAAAGTTCACTGCTATTGTTTATGTGTTGAAAAAAGAGGAGGGAGGGAGGCATTCGCCATTCTTTGCTGGATACAGGCCGCAATTCTACATGAGAACTACTGATGTCACTGGGAAGGTTTCTAAGATCATGAATGATAAGGATGAAGAGTCTAAGATGGTTATGCCTGGGGACCGTGTGAAGATGGACGTGGAGCTAATTTTTCCAGTAGCTTGTGAACAAGGAATGAGATTTGCAATTAGAGAAGGTGGGAAGACCGTTGGGGCTGGTGTCATCCAAACCATCATTAAATGACGTTGTTGTGAATTTTGGTCAGTGAAATGAATTTAAGCTATTTTGATGCGGTTTAGTTAGTGTGATTGTCTGCAAATAATTGTGTTACTGTTTTGATATTTCTATGATAATGTAGATTGTTCTATTTTGCTGGGTACCTGGAAAGATATTTCAGGCATGCATTCTACTGTTTTGTAAAGTACAATGAGCGTTAGGCAGTTTCAAGTGGTTGCAGGATGATCAATAAGATGATAAATATACCGAGAAGATGTATGAGGGTTTTGATTGACTTAAAGGACTACCTAATTTGGTAAGATTGAATTGGATTGGATGCTTTGTCTTCAGGTTAGATGTGCTCGAACTATTTAACGTTTCAAATTTCAATTTGGTCGCATTAAACAATAGCAGGATACCCTAATAATAGCTGATTCAGGAACTTAGTTCAGTAATCTTCAGAGACACAGTTACTTAGAAGAAGAGGATGGGAGCTGGATAGCATCTGATTTTCCTAACAAGTCATGCTCATTTTTATTAAGTTTGTATCAACGTAAATTTCATACGAGTTTTCGTTTGCCATATTGTGTGGCCATCTTTCTGGAAATTTTAACTGGCCAAATCTTCTTCAAACGTTTATCTAGTCATTGTGTAGCTTTAGTGTTGCGAGGTGGTTTGAGGGTCTGATGCAACCTGCACGCACTAGTTTCAGTTTATGTACTAGTAAAATTGTGGAAAATTTTAATCCTGGCTGCATGCTTGGAGTTGATCAGTTGGTGCCGTTGTGCGTCCGCATTTCTTTACTCCACAGAAGATGGCGGTGGACATTTGATAGTGTATTTTAGTTGACATACTATGTGAAATTAGGAACTGTGATAAGCATGTTGTGTGCGATTCTATATTTGCTCAAGGACGTTAGCCCACCCTGCGACCTAGCTTCCCACATCAAATGCGGCTGGTTCTTAATCTTAAGTATAGGCTGTTTGGTAGGCTCAAACAGCAAAAAGTTGCGAGTTCATTCTACCACTCTTCATATAATGATGGGGCATAATAGTGATGAATACCTAAAGTTGTTGACCGGGTAGTTTTTTTTTGGGAGAAGAATTAATTAAGTCCTAAAAAAAGAAAATAATTACCAACAAGTCTTAATAACAACTTAAACAGTTTGTAATGATAAGTGTCAAAGTAAACATAAAAAACTTTTAAGACTAATTTTGTAATATATTTTTTTTAGGACCTCAATATAATTTTTTTTTGACGTGGCAAGGTGTGTAATAAGTGATGCGTTGTTTTCATTGTGCTTAACGTAAATGAGAGTAAATCGTAGAAGACTGTTAGATACGTCGTAACTTCAGGATGGAGTGGATCGATGATCAATGAAAAGCTTTTGCCTTCCATCCTTCAATGAGCAAAATATTTTTTAAGTTGAATTTTGCATACTCTTGATTTGCTGTAAGCTTCCAGCCGTTAAAGAATTTTCATGGGGGCTTTTCTCGCACTTGGACTTTGACCATCTGACGGGCGCGTAATTCAATTCTGGATCGATTGGACAAAGACGAAGCTATTGCTTCATTGGTGATGTGGCTATGATCATTCCTCACAGGATTTTGGGTGGAGACGAAGCTTTAGGTCGTATCTGGGTCTTGGCGGGAAAATCCGATGCTGATGACGCATTGGTGAAGTTCCAAGGATAATGCCAAGAAACAAAGAAGCTTCTATACTAAAAGAAATGATAACGTTGAATAGTACAGTTTCATTTTGCAAGAAGATCTTTCTCAAAAAGAAAAAAAACTGGTAAAAGTGGTAATGGTAATTAGATTGGTCCGTGGCGCATTGCTGACCTAATACAGAAATGACCTCCATTTATGCTTGCTATTTGCGACATGACTGCCTTTGGGAATGCTCGATAAGTTGAATTGCGGTTCTAACTCATGGCACGACTTCTAGTGCCTGTAACATGCTTGGGTAATTGGAATTGGTGGGTCTGACAAAGAACCATTGAGGATTCGATCAGCAACCCAATGATTAGCAGCCTCAGCGTAATGAACACCATCCCAGCTTACATATTTCAAGGGATTCTCGCAAGAAGCACCATACACGGCTTTTCCATTCACCATTTGTTTTGTCCCGCACCATATATGAGTGTCATTCACGTGATATCCGCAGCAGATCTTCAGTGCATCAACAAATCCTGAAAACACAAAACAAAACGAAGCATTGACACCCTCCATTTTAGCCTAATAAGAACCTCGTATAATAAATAATGCCAATAATGAATAGAAAGATATTACCTTCATTCTTAGCTTTGCTGATGAGTCCATACTTTGCAGCATAGACATCCACATATGTGATTGAAGCTTGTGGGAGCTCTGCCTCAGCTGATAATTTTGTTTTTAAGCTGTTTGTTGAACTCTATGGCCATCTCATTCTGATCCTTCACGCACCCATACTGGTCAAGATAACCTGCTGGTAAATTATGCTTGTAAAACAGATTCACTGGCAGGCACCCATTGGTCCTGTGTTGTGTATCCAAAATGCCCTCCCTCTTGTTGGTATAGATGCTGCAAATCAGCTATTTAAACTCAGACCCGCTTCATTTCAATCATACAGCTTCGAGGTTCCCTAGGATTCTCAGTTATTTCATAG